AATTCTCTGTACTCGGTTCAACTTCATAGTGTTTGTCAATATGTGAGAAGTTTGACCTACTTATATCCATATCTTAAAAAATAGCTGGTACTCTTGGTGTTCAAAACAAACAATTTTTTTAGGAATATTACCAACTTTAATTATTTAGGTCGGTTGATTTAAAAACTGAATAAAACGTAAAATGGTACATATTTTTACAGGATTATTTGGCATTACTTTTAAAAAGGCTATTTGACCGTTCAAAAAGTATTGTAAGAGGATCTAAAAATCTCCAAATAGTCCAAATATAAAAAGTCTCCAATAAAGTTTCACTTACACATGAAATACAGTAGTTTTCACGTGACGATGCGACGTTTCAATTTCGATCCAAAACCACATATTAGTAATTTTAGCAGCAGTAAAATTTATACTCTATTCACTTTAGTTAAGGTTAAATATACGACCAGGTATTCAGAATATGAAATCTTTTTAGGAGTTGTATTAAGAATTGGCAGTCATTGTCAGAAAATAATGGTCGTTCGTGAGATGAATATAATTTTACTCTCGAAGCGCAAGTTTAAAAGCTGCCATGTTCACTGTGCAAAACATACAAAGTAGCACAAATCAACTTGTTTTATATACGTTTGATTTTTTCACGCTCAGAAAACAGTTAGCCTTTTGAGTTTTAATTGTAGAAATTTGTCTATTGTCTTGAATATATAATATTTAACGCAACCACGTTTCTTAGATCTATCAGTTATCGTGTAAACCATCTTCTTGGTAGTAGCCAAGTCATCATCGGGACACATAATTATTTAAATCTTATCGGTTGATATAATTTATAAACTAAATAGTCTGTTTTATTTAGAACTTCTGTAAGTTTTAAGAAATAAAAGTTTTTTTTGATTATATTGCATTAGTTTTCGTAGATAACAAATTTTATTCTTCGTTATTTTTATGTAAAAACCTGCTGGAGGATATACCTAACAGTCCGAAGTAGACCAAAACCGGATATTCGTATCCCGCAAAGCGATATGCAAATATTACCGTAATAAGTAAGAAGATTGTTTACTTGAGTCATAGACTTTCCGCTCCAATAACGTTGCTCTCTGTCACCGGTTGAATAAGTTCGTCACCATCATTTTCATTACAGCATTTTTCAAGTTTATTGCTGAATACAATCCAGTCCGAAGGATTGCCAGTAATCAAATTATTGACATCTCGTTTACACGATATAGTACAGAGGCCACGAGTACTTTCTGGACTTTTCCGTAATTAACACTTGCGATTCTCTCGGGTTAAAATGAAGTCGAAGATTCTCTAAGTCCGTCACATCACAACAAAACAGCTATCACAGATCCGTCATGCTCTCTGTCACAAAGATTTGATCACGGTAGCTAGCTGTGGAGGAAAATGGTGAGATTCACCATTTAAAATATATCGGTTGGTATTGGTCTATTTCCTATACACAGTGTTACCTTTTACTACAGTTTACCTATGGTGTTTTTAGGATTTCGGATGACTAATACATCTAGAAAATCTAAGGAATTTATTGCCTCTAATTCCATAGTAAATTGAATTTTAGAGTTAATGGAATTAAGATGTGCTAAAAATGCATTTAATTTAACTGATGGTAGAGTTGTAAAAGTATCATCTACATACATGTTGATGATAGGTGCACTAAGGAGGGCTTCCTCCTAAAAGTATTCCATAAATATATCGGCGATAATGGGGGATACAGGTAAGCCCATCGCAACACCATCTACTTGCTTTTAAAACTCTTCTTTCCACAATAGATAGCCAGATGTAAGGAAATGTCTGAGTAGTCTGAGTAGTGTTCTGGTCGTGTGTTATATACCTCTAGTTTCCTAAATATAATTGAAATTCAATAGCACAATTGTGATTAATTTTTACCATGGTAGAGCTAGGTTTCAGCTATATTATGAGTATAGCACGAATGGATCGGTTCAACCGGTGAAGGACCACGCTGTCACATAATAACAGTGTGAAATAGCAGCTTAATACTGTTGTGTTTCTTATGGTGAGTGTAAAGATACGGAGACCCTTTTTTACTGGAAATCTGGCATCTTAGTCCTCAGGGGTAACAACGCATCTGTATTTTGATTCTTAAACGAGGATAAGTGTACGTGTTTGTATAATAAAGAGATAAATATTTATTAAACAATAACTTATGTACATATATCATGTATTTGTATTGACATATTATTCCTTAGTTATCTTGGCTTTAATCATATTTCTTTAATTACTATAATGGTGTTTTTTGTTTTTTGGGTGGTTTCATTAACTATGTGCCCAGCGGTTTCAATGAGCAAGCTCGGTCAACCGGGTACTACTCACTAATCGATCAACACGTGATTAAAAAAATGTTATATGTCTACGTGCCACAACATCCACTTACCATCAGGTAGAATTTGTGTTCGTTTGTGACTCTAATTCTATAAAAATAAGATGCAGTATTCAACAGGTAGGCAAGTAAAAAGAGACTGGACATCAAAACTGGCCAAAGTTTCATTTTCACTAAGGCATGTGACCTTTATTTCACTGACAGAATGTTCATCCTAAAATCCTTAGTGTGTGAACTTGTGTGTCCTCTGAGTGGTGATAATATTTTAGCTAAGTGTTGAGTCAATCTGTAAGTTAACGAATCGATCTGAATCACTATTGGACGTAATGGAGCGTTCGGTTTGTGTGTTTTGGTAACCCATACAACTTCGGTGGTTTGGCACACGCAGGTATTATCGAATTAACGTCTAGATTCAATTTCACGGAGTATTTCTTAATCATACTGCTTGTGGTTTTAAGTGTATTAGTTGTAGGGCCTATTTTGACCTATCTATACGTACTTTAATCTGACAAAAGTTGTTGTATTTTAAAAATGTAATCCGGCGTAACTATTATAAATGTAGCATGTTAGCCTTTATCTGCGCAGAGAATAGTGAGCTCTGATCTGTTGCGTAAGTTTTTCAACGCGTTAAATTCATTTTGAGAAGATTTAATTTCGGCGCTGAACTTCGATGTTACATAGATGAAACGTCTTAACGTATGACCTCTAAATCTTCTTTATCAATATTATTTTTATGCAAACAGTCCTCAACACTGCGGATAATGGCCCTCATACGACATTTTTCGCAGTGTCATAGTGAAATTAAAACCTTTTCATAATAGTTTTAATGGGGTGTCCTTCAGAGTTTGTTTTGATAAGTCATAAACCACGCGTTGTTTATTACTCTTGTCTCTGGTCAACGGTTTAGTTCCGTTCTAACGTTGACATTGATGTTTTTTTAAGAATATTAACAATGCTATAAACATTACTAATATTCCCCTTAACCACTCGTGGTAAGCTTAAATTACTTGTGTTAGGAGTGGTTCACGCCAGTCCACGTAGTCGAATGGCGGATTCGAACCCACGACCTTTTTTGAGTTCGCGGTCCGCGCCCTGCCATTAGGCTACTGTCGCTTTCACTTTGTTGGCTTTGTTGGATATTTTATTTAGTTGTTTATTTTATTTGATTTAGTTGTTTCGCGTTTATGTAAATTTTCTTTAAAAACTTTCAAAGAAACTTCTGTTTATGTAAAAATGTCTTTAATTCACTGGATAAGTATCTATGTTTTTTTTTATGAAACATAGATCGGTACGTTTTTGATAAATCCCTGTTATTAACCCATTTCATGCCAGCAACGCACACGCGTGCGTTTTAGTTTTTTTTACTTGTGTGCCTGCAACGCACCGTATGCGTGTAGTGTATGTTTTAATGAAGTATCATTTATTCACTGTGCGTTGCATTATTGTTGCCATTTTTTAATTTACCTCAATCTAGATTATATTTCTGATATAGCAACACCGTTACAGTAGTAAAAGAAATGTTACATTTGAATTGACGCCGGTTTTTGTGTTTGTGATTTTTGCTAGTATTATAAATCAAGTTTTTACGGTGATTTAGGTGTTAAAAGGTAAGTAAATATGATTTTTTAAATCAAATTTAGTCATTTATATATAACAACAATGTAATTTTAAGTCTACTGATAATATTTTGGATAAATTTTGAAGTCCAAAACATACCAACGCTAATGGTGCGTTCAATGGCATTTATGAACGACTTTGTTCATGGATGGTGTTAGACATCGACAATAATCGGTCGCTCAATGTTACTTCTGCTATTGTAACTTTATAGGAATGTTATTTTATAACTTGTGATATTTTACTGCAGTGTTCGTATTACATACCCTACATGGTACAAAATAAAACCGTTTGTGAAAAAACGCTTTTATTTTTAAATTTGAATGGGATGAATTGTGTAAAGTAACTAGTATTTTTGTCGTTTATAGGTCTTTTGTTTTCTCCTTAAGCATTATGGCAAATAATAATAGAGGTCGTCGTTTGGTTGAATTGTCACTTAATACTGCTGAAGGTACTAATTTACAAGCTAGAAAAGAAAGTTATTCACAAGATAGGTGAGTTAATAATACAGACAGTTGATCTTTATCTATTAATATGAATAGTTAGAATGATTTTATCTATTTAAATCAATATATTGAATGTTGTTATTTTTTAAAGTTTAACAAATCGGATAATAAATAAAAATGTTTCAGAGATAAAAGTAGCACATCAGGTTTAAAGCGGAAAAGGGCGAGCTCTTTATATACGGCTGTAGAAATGGAACCTAAGAATATTCGGCGAAATTCTATTGAAACACGATGCCCAATATTGCCATTCCCACATTCTGTTCAAAGGTAGGTAACCTACACATTTCTTTTCTTTAGTTTTGAGAGTATTTTTAAGTTTAGTTTTTCAATAGAATATTGTTGTTTCAGTAAACAACAACTATTCAAGCAGTCTCCAGTACTTTGCACATCTTCTAGTGGTGTAGTTAAAACTTGGTCTGTCGAAAATGTGTCAGAATTACATTCAACTTCGAAGGCCATTGTAATCGATATGGTTGCCCAAGCAGACTGTGATGACAAGACTTCACCAACTGAAATAAATTATTCAAATTCGTGTAATGAACATTCGACCTTACGTAATGAACCTTCGACTTCGTGTAATGAACCTTCGACGTCATATATTGAACCTTCGACCTCATATAATGAACCTTCCACCGCATGTAATGAACCCACGACATCGTTCAAAAATATTGAGATTTCATTGCCTATCGGAGAAAGCAAGTGTAAGAACAAGAGGTGGACATGTTGGAAAAAGTTCCAGGACCGGAAAAATATTGAAACAAAACTCAGAAACAGAAACAGATGTAGCTGGCCAAGGGAAAAGACGAAGAGTTAGAACTAGAGGAGGTTCTGCATCTTCTATCACTCACCAGTTAAGAACTGGTCGTGACTTGTGTCAAATATATAGTGTACAAGTGCCTATTGAGGAGGAGCTTTCGGCAATATTAAATGATAATGATGAGCGAGATAATTGCGCAAGGGCCCAATTTCAGGCGCAAGAACTTTCAGATAAACAACTTCTGGACATACTTGAAGCTTCTGATGACAATTTCGATGATGAGGTTCTAGATGAAAATTTTCTTAACAATTTTGATGATTCTGATTCAGATGATGATAATATGATACCAACTGAAACCTTCGCACCTCCAACTAGTGATGGTGAGTGTTTAAATTGGTCGGACCAAATATCCCACATAAAAGATATTGCTTTTATAGGAAACCCAATGGGGTTAAATGTACAACTAGAAGCAACTGAACCTATCAACTTTTTTTAATTTAATTATGACAGATTACGTAATTCAGGACATCATTGATAAAACCAATCGTAATGCAAGCAATATCCTTGCAAAAAGTTTACCCGGAAGTCGAATACACTACTGGAAAAATGTAACAGTTTCAGAATTCAAAATATTTTTGGGGCTACTTTTCCATATGGGTACAATAAAATTAAATAGAATACAAGATTATTGGAAGAAGCACAGACTATTCAACCTGACCTGTTTTAGTGAGCACATGAGTCGAAATCGTTTTTTACTAATTCTAAGAGCAATGCACTTTGAAAATATAGAATCAGATGATAACAGATTAGCGAAAATTTCACCTTTGGTTATGTTTTTCAATAATAGGATGACAGAAATATACAACCCTGTACAGAATTTATGTATTGATGAGTCCCTTGTATTGTGGCGCGGTCGACTAATATTCAGACAATACATAAAGAATAAAAGCCAGAAATATGGTATAAAATTATATATTTTGACTGATGCAAACGGAATAATACTAAAACAAATAGTGTATGCCGGCGCAGGAGACCCAATTGTAGGTGGCGTGAATCATTCCTCAAAAGTAGTTTTACAGCTATTACATGATTTTTTGAATAAAGGCTACTCTGTTTTTATGGACAACTTTTATAATTCTGTTGATCTGACAGAAAAATTATTATCTGAAAATACTTACTGCACCGGAACTTTACGATTAAATCGAAAAAATAACCCAAAGTACATTACTACTAAAAAGTTAAAGAAAGGCGAATGTGTCTCGCAGTTCAACCAAAATGGCGTTTGTGTCATGAAATGGCGGGATAACAGAGACGTCACTATGATATCATCACAATTTAATTCGCAAATGATTACTACCACTACAAGAAGAAATACAGAGGTCTCAAAGCCTAAAATGGTTGTAGAATATAATCGTAACATGGGTGGTATTGATCACCAAGATCAAATGATAGCGTACTATTGCTGCGAACATAAGTCTATCAGGTGGTACATAAAATTGGGAATCCACCTGTTGCAACAAATGATGTACAATTCATTTACTTTATCTAATTTGTTTTCTGGCAAAAAACTAAGTTACTACGAATTCAGGCAATCAGTTATAGAAAATTTACTTCCCGAGGCTAAGGTCCAAAAAACTGGAGAGGTCTCAGAAGAAGGGGTTATACTTAATATTGTTCATATAATTCAGCCTTGCCCACGGAAAGGAAAATCAATGCGCAGAAGATGCAAATATTGCTGGGAAGTCAATAAAATACGTAAAGATACACCATTCTACTGTCCAAATTGCCCTCAGCAGCCTGGATTTTGTATTGTTGATTGTTTTAGATTATACCACAAATATACATAGTGCACGCACACACACACACACATACACACTCGCGCGCACGCGTTATGGTTGAGGTCGTGTTATATTACTAGATGGTGCTCGTATCAAGTTATATTCCTAGTAAGACAGTTATGAGCCGAGTTCATGTGACTGTATTACGGTATATGTATAGCTATATCATAAGGGATATAACTATATCACGGTTTCAACCATCTTACTACGACATATATATTTAACATAGTTATACGAAAGCGATTCATTACTACTTTATGCTCGTAATCTGGTAATACATTTATTTGACTAAACTAATCTGGTTAAATAATTATAAATCTCCCATAGAATCAAATAAAACAATATATTGGTTTTTGTTTTTATTACTAAATCAACTTATTGTAACTGATTGTTACAATACTTTGTTGCAATAGAATTTATTACTACTAATTTTTAAAATTTTTAATTTTTAAAATTTATTACTAGTAATTACAATTACAATTAATATTAAAAACGATTGTATTTTGTATATAAGCATTAACGATACAATTGGGAAAACTGATTATTTGTGAAAAACCTGGTACTTCTTGCGTGAATTTTCTTTAATCCCATATTTCTCAGCATTTTTTTTAAAATTCTAACTACACTCCTACAATTATTTCACTAAACTTAATTAAGTAATACAATTATATCAGTAAACTTGAACCGTATTATACTTATATTCCTAGTGAGATAGTAATGAATCGCTTTTGTATAACTATTATATCCCTAGGGATATAACTATATTAAGACTTTATCTATCATACTGCGACATATACAAATTTTTATATGTCGCAGTATGATAGATAAAGTCATATACGTATTTTCTGCTAGAATACCTACATTGCTTAATCTTTTAGCTTTTTTTAGATACTGTTTTACATAACTGTGTTGAAGCTCTTGGTATAAATATTTTCTGTATTTGCTAAATAAATATTTTTTCATTTTACTATAATAATTATTATGAAAATACGTACTTATAATATAATTATGAAAAAGGAGAATTAAAGACTGCTTTGATCTTATATGAGTATTTTTATTTCTGTCACCTACTCTACACCCTAACAATTTAATTATTAGTTCATGTTTCCCAGTCGTGCATAAAGCCATCCACTATATACTCTCAAAAGTGCGTTCTCGGATCTCTCGAAAAACTTTTTTCACCATGTGCCACCCACGCACCGTATGCGTTTGGTGTATTTTTTCGTATTTATCAACAATATTTATTTAAAAAAAATCTAAATACATCATTAGTAATCCATTTCCTACCATAAAACATAATAAAAACTGGTGGCACCTGGTCAACAACTTTTAAAAAAAGGTGGCATCGAATGGGTTAACAACTTTTTTACTACTAGCCTGATTTAATATCTTAGCGCTTCCTCGAATGTCAAAAGTCAAGCAAATTAAACGCGAGAAAATCCGTAAAAGTAGTTTTAATCAATGTGTAGTGCTCGCGTAAATACGGGAAATCATTATGTAACTGGTTGTACGGACTAGAAATAGCAAATAAAACACGCCGATTAGAAGATCGAAAGACCCAACGCGCAAGATACATAACATCTTTTAATTACTTGAAGAAATGCAGAGATCATAACCACAATCCTACGTGTGTCAAGATATCTACTAAAAGGATAATCGAGGAACCGCTATATATGTACTGTATATGTATATGAAAAAGACCCATACAATCCGAAATTTAAATAACTAATCCCACCATTGTCATTCATTTTCATCTCATCCAACGGTATGACGATGTCCCGACGACCAGCTTCACACAAATAAAACCCATGAAATATTCATTAGTGTATCGAACAGATATGTACTTTCGACTGGTTGCTCACGACATGGCCCGGTGCGACATTGTCCCGTCGACCAGCTTCACAAAAATTCTTTCTCTCACATTAATTCAATTCATGTGTTAATTTCGGCCGAGTTAATGTCGTGTAGTGGCGGTTAAGAATACCCACTACCATATATCATCCCGTGGGGTGTCGTTAAAGGCGACAAAGGGAAACAGGCAGGAGATGGGCAGCAGCATCTTTCTGATAACACCAACTGTATTACAAAAAAAAACTGCCGGTGCCAACCCGCTCGCCACGCGTGGCAACTATGGCGATATACCCCCCATGAAGAATTACGCAAATAGACGGCCCCCAGTCCCTGGCGGCTCCGCTGTTCCTGGCTACGGTAGCAACCATGGTAACGGAGGGGCAGGGGTGCTAAGAATCTCTGATGTAGGTTTGGTTGCCACCTACGACGACTCGACCTGGCAACATTTAACGCACGCACCCTGAGGACAGACGAGAAGATCCTGGAGCTGGAAGAAGAGATAGACAAGTTGCGCTGGAATATTATAAGATTATCCGAGGTTCGAAGAGAAGGGAAGGACACGGTAATTCTCGAATCCGGCAACTTGTTCTATCACCGGGAGAGCGACCATCTTTCCCAAGGAGGTGTTGGATTTATCGTCCAAGTCCCTCGTTAACAACTTTTTAAAGATTGGGAGTGTATCGACGAGAGTTGAGTACCTTATATTTAAAATCACCAAACGGTATTCGCTGAAGGTCATCCAGGTTTACGCGCCAACGTCGGAACATCACGATGAGGGGGTGGAGGAAATGTATGAGTATAATTCTAGAGCCATGCATTCCTCCAAAACCCACTACACGGTGTTGATGGGAGACTTCAATGCAAAACTAGGCACAAGAGAAAGCGGTGAGCTGCGGTTAGGGATATTTGTAGTAGGGCAACGGAATCGTAGGGGCCAGCAGCTGGCTGACTTCATTGAGAAATAGGGACTCTTTATGATGAACTCTTTCTTCCAGAAGCGGCCCCTCAGGAAGTGGATCTATTCGAGCCCCGACGGTTCGACAAAAAATGAGATTGACTTCATTATGACGACCAGACGCAAACTGTTCAGAGATGTATCAGTGGTCGCAAGTGTGAAAACTGGCAGCGATCACCGAATGGTTAGAGGCACACTGAACATAAATGTTAAATTGGAGAGGTCTCGTCTAATTAAGTCAACGCCCCATCCCCCTCGTACTCTGATCCAGAATCCCGAAACCTTTCAGCTCGTGTTACATAACAGCTTTCAGTGCCTAGAAGATTTGAATGCAGTTGACGATATGAATGACAAGCTCGTGGAAACTGTTCATGCGGTCGGAGCTAAGTTCTGCAAGACCCACCGCAGAAGAACACAAAAACTCTCCGATCACACTCTTAATCTCATGGCTGTTAGACGGGAGATGAGGCTGCAATTGTCAACAGATTTGACAGCATACAGGCAACTAAATAGACAGATCTCCAAATGCATGCGGCAAGACTTACGCAACTTTGATACTGCTCGTATTAAAGAAGCGATTGAGCGTAACCAGGGCTCCACAGTCTTTGCCAGATATTTGTCTGCCAGAAAAAGCCAACTATCAAAGCTTAAGATTGAGTGTGGCAGCATCGTTTCTGGGACACCTGAGATTCTGAGTGAGATTAAGAGATTCTATGGGCAGCTGTACACATCATCGTTGGAGCCACACACAAGTGTGAGTAACGATCCAAGGGCAAGACTTAACCGACACTATTCCGATGGACATCAGTCTGAGCGAGATTAGAATGGCTCTCCAGCACCTTAAAATTGCAG